AAGTAAGGATGAGTTCGAAGATGGACATGATCGGTCAATTGGTTGGCCGGTGGGGGCCATTTCCACCCAAACGTGTTGCCGTTAACTACCAAGATCCATCTTAAAAGGCCCTGCAAAGTTGCTTGGAGTAAGTTTTTAGGGAATATTAAGACTATTTTAAGCATATTTTAAGTAAATTTGACATGTTTTTGTTTTGCTTCTTACGTCAGAATTGTAGAATTTTTTATTTTTTGGGAATATTGAGACTTCAAACTGTTCAAATTTCTAGCCAAATTTGAATTTCATTTAAATTTATGCTGTAGTTTTAAAACATTTAGATTAATAACAGTTCTATAAATCAAATTATAATCTGCCCAGAAAATTAATTAGAACGTTTCATTTTGGGGAATATTGAAATTGGAAATTCAAATTCCACTATTTCTACAACTATCTAGATTCGTTATTATATCGTTATTATTTCATTATTCATTATAATTTGTGGAGTTTCTACTCGAATACAATGTATTCAATACATACCTGTTCAATTTCGTTCATTTGAGTGATCATGACGGTAAGTGGTAGTGAATGGAAATGAATTTCCTGTCATTTGAGTGAAAATGATTGAAATATTCCGTCATTTTAGATGAATGACTGTAAATGAAAGATGTCTCACTCATTCCATTTTTCAGACCATGTTTAATACATGGGGTAAAGTAAGAAATTACATCGGATGAAGTGAAGTGAATTGAAATGAATTTGAAAGAAAATGACGGAATGTGAATGAAAATTATCAATCAGAAATCGACGATGATGACTGATTTTTGAGTGAAAACTAAATTTTTGAACAGGTATGCTGGAATCGTGTTAATATTCACTATGAATTTAGATGCTCCACGTTCTCCGGTAAAATCCATATTTTTATACTCTATCTAATTTCGAAATTGTAGAATTTTTCATTTTCGGGGAATATTGAAATTTGAAATTGTTCAAGTTCCTAACCAAATGCGAATTCTGTGAAAATTTTCACTTCAATCAAATACGTTTAGATGCACTGATAGTTTCTTGCCACGGATGAAATTGAGGTCACAAAAAATTAAAATATGTATCTGTAAATTGAAGCATTTTTACTTTTGTGCGTAATCTCGTTTCGAAATATCGGAGCTTTTCATTTTTAGGGATTATTTAGCGTGAAACTTCTAGAGTTTCTACTCGAATGTGAATATCGTGTAAATATTCACTACGAATTTACATTAGATAGAATCTGATAAACTTCTTCCTGAAAATCCGTGAAAGTTGAATTTTAAAACTCGTTCCAATTTTGAAATTAGGGAATATTGAGCTTAAAATTGAAATTGCCTACTCGAATGTAAATTTCATGTAATTTCACTACGGATTTTCACAATTTGAGCACCATCGTTCTTCATCATTCGTGGTAAAGTTCATCGCGACCTTGAAGGTTATATTTTTATGAATTGTCCAATTTCGAAATTACAAAACGTTTTTAGGAAATATTCAAACCTGAATTGTTAGAGTTCCTAACCAAATACGAGTTTTATGTTATTGTTCACTTAAAATTAAATACGTTCAGATTTTGCACGTCTTCTTGCTAGACTACAAAATCCCCCCACAAAATTTTCCATTTTTTATGGTTGCGAAATTGTAGCAATTTTTAAAAAATATTTAAATTTGCCCACATTCATATGAATTTTCTCTAAATTTTCACTGCAAATTATACGCATTTAGATTAGTAACTGTTTGTATCATGCCCATAAAATTGACACGTTTCTACTTTAGTCCATTATCCAATTTCGAAATTATGGAATTTTTCATTTTTGGGGAATATTGATGTTCAAGTTCCTCTTCTTGTAAATTTTCATTACCAATTTCTACAATTAGTTCTTCGTGATTTATCACATCCATTAAATTCATGTTGTCATACGTTGTCCAACTTCGAAATTGTTGACTTTTTCATGTAAATTTTTTTTTTTAAATTTCGAAATTTGTTTTTTTCTGGGAATTTTCGTTTCTAATCAAGTGTAAGTTTAACTACGAAATTTCACAATTAGATCATTCGATCATCGTTCTTCGACCGCGTCCATAAAATGCAAATTTTTATTCGTCATACAATTTCCAGGTTGTAGAATTTTTTTATTTTTTTGGGGGTAATATTCAGAGAGACTTGAAAGGCTTTGTGAAAATTTTCACTTAAAATTCACCACATTTAGATTTCGTTCTGCGAACAATCCACGCACAAGATTAACACGTTTCTAATTTTGCCCAGACCTTCTCAAATTTCGAAGTTGTAGAGTTTTTAATTTTTGAGACTTGAAATCATACCTGTTCACTTTCATTCATGTGACTGATTATGATAGAGAATGATGGTGAATGAAAATGAATTTCCTGTGATTTGAATGAAAATGAGTGAAAGATTCAGTCATTTCAGATGAATGACTGTGAATGAAAGGATTTTTCACTCTTTTATTTTTCACCCTATGCTTAATACATGGGGTAAAGTAAGAAATGAAGTCAGATGAATTGAAATGAAATGAGTTTGAAAGAAAATGACTGAATGTAAATGAAAAATTTCAGTCAGTAATCGGGATGACTGACTTTTGAATTAAAACAAAGTTTTTGAACAAGTATGCTTGAAATTGAAATTCCTAGAGTTTATAGTATACTATGAATTTCGTGTCAATTTTTACTATGAATTTCCACAATTTGATCTCGATCGATAAAGCTCTGACTCAATCCGTCCATAAATTTTGTATTTTGTTATATCGTCCGATTTCGAAATTGCAGTTTTTGTGCTTTGGGGGAATATTGATCATGAGACTTGAAATTTTAGTTTTTAGCCAGATGTAACTTTTGCGCAAATTTTCCCTGCTTTCGTAAACATTTTAGATTTAACTCGTTTAGTTGAGAAGTCCACAAAATGTACATGCTTTTACTTTTATATTATCCAATTTCGAATTTGTCATAAAAAAGTTTCGAAATTGCAGAATTTTTAGTTTTTTTTTCTGGGAATTTTTAATCTCTTGGAAGCCTTGAAACTGAAATTTACCAGAGTTTCTATCTACTCGAATGTCAGTTTCGTGTAAATATTAAGTGCGAATTTACACAATTAGACTTTCCTCGTTCTTCACAGCATTAACAAAGCTCAACCCGTCCATAAAATTCGTATTTTCTGTAATTCTAAAATTTAGAATTTTTATTAATTTAATTTTAATTCAATTAATTCATTTCAATAATTAACTTTAAATATTTAATTAGTTTCAGATTTTAGAATTTAGAATTTTTCATTTTTAGACATATTGAGCCTTGAAATTGTTAAAGTGCCAAATATGAATTTCGCACAAATTTTACCTGCTCTCAAATACATTTTAGATTCAATTCGTTTTATTTAAAAGTTCACTATATTTACGTTTTTAATTTTTTATATTATCCAATTACGAATCCCTCATAGAAAAGTTCCTAAATTGCTGAATTTGTAATTTTTTTCTGGGAATATTGGTAATATAATAAACACACTGAAATTAAATCCTGCCCATCAATTTGTGCACATTACGTATTTAATTTTTTAGGGAATGTTGAGCTTACAATTGTTCAAGTTTCTAGGTAAATGTGCAAATTTTACATATAATATACTAGCGTATAAGCCCGTCTCCCGTCGGGCGAGTGAAAATTATAAGCTGGAAATATCTGTCGGTAACGGAAGTGAAAGAAAATTATCTGCAACGCAAGGGAGAGTAAAGAAAGTCACGTTTCGAATGGCGCGAAAAGTAAAAACAAATTAAATTAAAAAAATTCAATGCCTGATGGTAGTTATGTTGGGATGGTCGTAAAATGGTTGTTATTTTGGGTGGTTATCTTGACTATTTCGCTGCGACGTGGGAGGTTAATGTAGACTCACTGAGTACAATAGCACGTCGAAGTAAAATAAATAATGTTCTGACTGTCTAGTGCCTTCGTCAGAATATTTCCGTTTTTCTTTATTCACGGTGTTTGTTAAATTAAATTGGAGGTACAATTGTATTAAGTAAAACCCCAAACCTCCGTCTTCAAACTATGAACCACGATGCGGTGTCGTACTCAATTAATGTAACGGGACCTTACTCCCACTTTATCCAGTCGAGTGACATTTCGGTGTGCTCGCGACTCACTCCCACTCCACTCCTACTCCAATCCGCAGCGGAGTGACCACTTACTCCTAGGGTATAAGTCCGTCTCCTGTACGGGGGTAGTTTCTGTGATTTTCAATATAACTCTAAGGAGTGATTGGGCTAGGGCTGGGCTGGGCTTGGGCACAGTACTACTCGCTACTTCACTCTAAGGAGCGATTGGGCTAGGGCTGGGCTTGGGCACAGTACTACTCGCTGCCCACTTATCTTACCTAAATAACCACCACCCCTCAGATAACCACCATCCCTCAGACAACCACCATATAACCACCATCCCCATAAGCCCATACAAAGAGTAGCACACCTTATGGTATTTAAATTTTTGAATTTAATTTATTTTGAATTTTCGCGCCATTCGAAACTTAACTTTCTCCACTTTCACTTCCGTTTCGGAAAATCACTTTCACTTCCGTTGCCGACAGACATTTCCAGCTTATAATATAGATGTAATCCGAATTTTTTACACGTTTTTATTTGATTTAGAAATTGCAATTTTTAATTTTTGGGAGATTTTGAAATTGCTTAGTTTCTAGTCTAGCCTGCATTTTTTATAAATTTTCACTTTTCGAATTAGCAACATTTTAACACGTACTAACCGCATTTGTGTCTGAGAATACAATTCATTAATAGTTCATTAATAATTTTATTAATTTGCACGTTATCCAATTTCTAAATTGTATAATTTTTCATTTTTTAGGGAAATTGAGTTCGAAATTAGAATTGTTGAAGTGTGTAGCCAAATGCCAAGTTTGTGCAAAATTTCACAATTAATGTATACAATTAGATCGGAATCAATGAAAGAGTCGTTCATAGAAATCATAAAATTAGTGTTTTTATTGCAACTTCATTTTAAAATTTAAGAATTTTTCACATTTTAGGGAATATTAACACTGGAAATTGTCCTAGTTCATAGCCAAATGTGAATTTCGGTCAAAGACACTGATCGAACTTGATGGTAACCGTGGGCCCCTTTGCATTATTTTTCATTGATTGCAATGCAAAATGCTGGGCCCCCGATATTAATTATTATTTTTAGTTGTGTGGTAACAAATCATGGAAGATTAAGCGAGAAAGCAATATGTACATATTTGCAGCCGCATTTGAGGTACTCAACAATGCTCGTTATTCATTTCGGTTTTCGTTGCAATTTTGAGTATTACATATATATATTGTATATTTATAATTTGACAGATTATAATTCGTACATATATACAATACAACTCAGATTTTATTTTTCTACAGCATCATAACTTTACACTGGAATACATACATACATCCATGAAAATGTACACAACACAAAAAAATTGTAACTCAATGAAACCTGAAAAAAACAATACGCAATATTAATATTAGTTTAATTCGCCTAACATGCATTTATAAGTACGGTTGGGATTGCAAACTACGAAATCAATCAGAGTACTCATGTACCTTCCCAAATTATGCCGTACTTATAGATGATCTAAAATTGTGAGTCATTACCAGATTAGAAGAAATAAATGTATATGCATAACCTGACCAAAAACTGCCTTAATGATAATCCTCCGATTCCTCCTCCTCCGATTAAGGTTTTCCGGCGTTAATAATTTCCAGTTTTCTTTTCCGAACGTTAATTGTTGTTGGGTTTTGGTACCTCTGATAACCCAAGTACCACAGCACCTTTTAACAATATAATAAAAATAGACATCTACCATTTACCAGTTATGCTTTTTTACATATAATAATTTTAACTTAGTGTGCAAATATGTGCACAACATCCCAATGTCCGAGCGCCTTGTTTGCATTTACAGTAGAAACCAATTATTGCGTCAGCACCTTTAACTTCTGGGTCGGAAGAATATTCGATCCATAGATCGTGGGCTTTATTGGCTGTAAACCTTGATTCAATCTTGGCTCGCACGATGTTTGGAAATTCTGAATTCAGTTTAATTTCAAAGATTGGAGAATTTTTCATGTGCAGATTAGCGTATCTCTTGGCCAATCCAATCTGATACACTCCAAGGGTTATGTCTTCCAGATCGTCAACGTTAAGCTTCGGGAATTTTGGAAATTCTTTCAGAGAGGCCGTCTTCCATTCCTTAGTCCGGCGATCCATCTTCTCGTCCTCCATTCGCTTTTGTAGTAAATTCTCCCGGTCAGCAAGTTCCAATGCTCGTTCGGCTATCTTATCATGCTTGGGTGAGTGGGTGGAGAGAGGAGGGCAGAAACAGTTAATAAGGGCGCAACCAATTCTGAACAACATGGGCAGCTTCTCAAGGTATCCTGCAATTAATCGCACAGTATAATAACTTTAAAACTTGCACCAACATACATTTGGTACGCATAAATTATTATATAGACTTACCTCCTGGAACCGTCTCTCGAAATAATTTGAACTTTTTCTTGATTCTTCCATTTACTGCCTCCACCAACCATCTAACCAACGTGACCCGTCTTGACTCATTTCCTTGCGAAGTGGTGAATTGTTTATCATCGGTGTCTAGTAGTTCTGGCATATGTGTGAGGTGTCCAAGGCGAAGAAGAGTCTGAATCACGTCTCTGAATCCCCTGTCCAGAATGTGGTGATCGCCCGGTTTCAAGTAAGGTGAATCAGGTGGCAGCTCCGACAGGATGGATTTTAAGATCCCAGCGTCGTTATTCGCACCTGCAATTAAAAATTACGGATTATTTGACAATTATGTAACTTGCAACGGATTATGCATTTTGCTACATCTTCCAGCTTTGCCGCTAAAATACACTTACCATTTGCATAATAAGGACCACACGCAGCCAAGATATACCCTGACGGAAGAACTATCATAAATGGTTTGATTAAATTGCGTTTTTTCTGCCCAGAATAAGTTAGTTTCTGCAGGTGAAAGTCGGCCGGCTTTTCAATATAAATATAGGTTCCATCCATGATAAGAAACAGCTTAGTTGGGTCTTCTTCTTTAAATAGCTTCGAGTATATGGGACGAGAGTGGTCACGAAGGGCTGCTTCACGGGACAAGTGTTCAAAACCGAGGTATTTCTTGACAAAATGGTTGTCCAGCGCTGTAGGGACTGCATCAATGGTCTCACTCACGCATGATTGATTGGGGATTCCAAAAAGACTGCCCAGCACTTTCTGCACACAAGAGTATTTCAGCATTAAGTATTCATTCTAATGAATTTTGCGGTAAGAATAAATCTTAAATATTAATACCTGAGCCAAATTGTGGCGAAGCAGCATAAGGAAGATGGCCAACGCATTTCGGACACTTCGGTTGACACTGTTATGTACATGGCCTGATATTTCTGCTAGCAGCGAGTTAAACTGAATTTTAGAGAATCCGACAAGATTTGGGTAGTCGTCCTTGTCCACGTCAGTTTGATCGTCGAAATTATAACGACGTCTTCTAGCACCTAACTTGTTTCTGTTGCTGCTGAGATCCAAAATCCACTGTGCAAGTTCTTCATCCGACATCAGAACGCCATGTTTTGTAGGTATAATCAACTGCATTGCGTCATCTGTGAAAAGTTTTCCCTCAAGGTGAATATTGCAGCAGCGATTGTCATGAGGGATATATATTTCCTTCTCTGTCCATGCTTGATGAATGGCGCACTTTGGAATCCTTTTTCTGCCGTTGGGGTCATGACAAATAAAGCACCGCTTCTGCGTGGATCCAACGGAGCTGATCATTGGTAAGCGCCGTGATTTACTTGATTGAGTGCTGGACATCGATACTTAGGAGTTGAATGGGTCGCAGGAAAGAGACGAAACGATTGACGCTTGAGAGTGACTTCGGGCGGTCATCGTCACTGTTGTGCCTTGAGTGCTCCATTCTGACTGGATCTCACTTCTGCCACTTATTGAAATAGCCATGGAGTTTTCATGACGGGATGTAGTATCAAATCCACCTGGTAGTTAAATATACTATCATAGTATTGTAGCATTATGATTATAGTATTTAATCTGCTATACTCACTATTAAAATGGACTTCGTCAAGCTCCATGTCCAATAATCCATACTCAAAGCGGTCAATCTCTTGCTGAGCATCGTCATCTTTACCCTCATGAGCATGGTCGTCGTCAGCCCAACAAAAATAGTCGTCGTCACCTCCACGAGCATAATTTTCCTCACGACCACGGTCTCCATCATCGCCACGACCACTATCTTCCTCAGCGCCACCAGCACCGTCTTCATCACCACTACGATGATCTTCCTCCTCAGCGCCATGAGCATCGTCTTCGCCACCGCCACGACGATCTTCCTCCTCAGCGCCATGAGCATCGTCTTCGCCACCGCCACGACGATCTTCCTCCTCAGCGCCACTACGATCTTCCTCCTCAGCGCCACGACAATCTTTCTCCTCAGCGCCACGACGATCTTCCTCCTCAGCGCCACAAGCATCATTGTCTTCTCTTCTCATATTTAATCTTGTTCGGCTCGGTAGAATGACACCCTCTCCCCTTACTTTAGGTTTTGACCTCCGGAATTGTTTCGTCCCTTCATCCTTCAATTGAGAGCGAATCTGCAGAATAAGTAGCAATTAAATACATATTACTAGACTAAATTAAATATTTTTCGTACCTTGATGTGGCATGCTTCGCATATGACCTCGGTTTTGTGTGCTTCCTCCTCATCATGGTACAGTCGACAATACAAGGGCCAGAGTGCAGACGCTCCCAGTCGATGCCGTTTCTGGTTCGACTTAATCCGTCTGTGACAGTCGTCCAAAAAACAAATAGTGTGCGGCATGATTGATAAAAGCAGCTGGATTTATTATAAAGCTCGATCGGGTTATTTTTTGGTATTTTCAAATAATAATAATGCAGCAATATGAAAATATGACTCCATTTAGTTACCTCTAACAACGGTGCACAGCGCAATAAATTAAAATGCATGAGATAAGTATGGCAAAAGTGGTGGTGGTTTACCCTAAAATAAGTGATGACTGCAAAATGTCCCATTTTTTGTTTAAAGTTAAATTCAGTCTTCAGAATATGTAGAAAATTTTAAAACACATTTCAGAAATGGGACATTTTGCAGATATCATTTATTTTGGCTGTAAAGTTGCTCATGAAATTCGATCAGTGTCTTTTAATGATTTCTAAGAGTTAATATTCAAACTTGTGTCAATCAAACCAGGATACCTTTTCAAGCTTAAATTAGGGTAAAAATTCATACAATTTGCGAAATCGGCGAAATAGCGATACATCATCGTGTTTTTGTTATAATAACGGAAATTCATATAATTCGGTTTTATTTGTGAATTATTGTGTTTACGAACATTTTGATAAATAGTGAAAAAATATTGGCAAATTGATCGAAATTTTAGTAATTTGTAAGGGTTATTACAAAATTATGGTTGATAAATAATGTAATTAAAAAAAAAATTGCACAGTTTGGGAACGTATCCGAAGATTAGGAATCGGCGGGATTTACGACGCCGGCAGGAATTTTACCGTAATCGTGGCCAGATTCAAACCCCCCGGAAACATTCATTAAACCCCTCCTTCAAAGAAAATATCTTCCCACCCGCTAAAGTAAAGTAAAAAGAAATTGCACACATATCCGAAAATTAAGGGGGTACAAATTTACCAAATTTTACACAAATATACAGGATCCTCCCCCAATAATGAACCAGGTCGAATCATTTCCGGGCCCAATTAACGGCCAAAATTTTGGGACAAATGTATCTCATCAGAACAAATATGAAGGCGCCCCCGCGCGCGCAAAAATGCCTGCGCCCGCGCATTCGACGAGTAATAATAAGGTCATTAACACAGTGACGACAACAGAAAAATCTGCGGTGTTCCTGACGCCACAAAATCCGGCCACGACGGCACCCTCACCTCCGATAGTGAAGCTCATAATAACGGAAAAAATTGGACCAAGTTACAAAATTGTGACGCAAAATGTACATCATGTGACGAGTAATAGAAATGTGACACCAAAACATGAAATTCTTGTGAGTACGACGACGAAGCCGGTGACGAAAAAATGCGTCACAACTAGGGTTGGTCCTATCCAATCCGATAATATCCGATCCGTCGGATCGGATCGGATATTTTTATCCGACCATTTGCTACAACATGGTCGGATAATCCGACGGATCGGATTGGGTCGGATCGGATACATGTTATAGTAAGTGGTCGGATAATCTCGGATAATCCGATCGGATCGGATCGGATCGGATGACCAACCCTAGTCACAACGACGACCACTTCGCAACCTCATAATCAAAAAAATGCTACAGTTCCGGTGTGAATTATAAAAGTTTGCAAAAAATTTACAAATTGTACTCTGATCTTTGTTTTAAATTGGGGAAAATTTGCAAAGTTTAACGAAAGGTATGTTGATCATGATCATAAAAAATGCTGGTATTAAGTTATTGCTGACCGGAGTACTTGTATGTATGACTTTGTTACCGGTATTGGTAATAACGGGCACTACGGTTTAGTAATTTTATGGCAATCAAAAATTTAACAACTCAGAAACAAACTAGTACCAATCCGGTAACAAGTTATTGCCAAATCAAAACCTATACAGAGTATATATCAGATTATGAGATTTTTAAGTGTAGGATTTTATGTAAAGTTTTTTTGTCAATATTTTGACGATTTAAAAAAAGTTGACTAAACCACGAGGAATTTCTTAAAATGTAGCTATTTAACGTTGTTTTTCATATTTATGAATATCTATTACTGCAAAAACTGGCTATAGATATATAATTGTATTGGTGAGTATTATTTTTTAATAACCCAGCTCTGGTTTCTACTTTTTTTTAAAAAATTACTACATATTTTTCATTTCCATTTCTCAATGTTCACTTTGCAACGTTGTGGCAATGAAAAGGTTGCAATTGAGAAACAAACTGCCACCAATCAGGTCGGTTGTTACCAATTGGTAATAATTGGTAGTGAAAAATATTTAGTAATTTCAGAAAAAGTAGAAAACCAGAGGTGGGTTATGAAAAAATAATACTCAAAACAAAAGACTTATATATCTATAGCCAGTTATTGCCGTAATAGATGTTCATAAATATGAAAAACGCCGTTAAATAGCTACATTTTACATCCCTCGTGGTTTAGTCAACTTTTTTAATCGTCAAAATATCGATAAAATTCCCGTATTTTAAATAAAACGGAAAAATACTCACATAAAGCACTACACTTAAAAATCTGATAGTCATACTGATATCCGCTCCGGTAATAATTTCCTACCCGATTGGTGGAATTTTGCTTCCCAGTGGTAAATTTCCCATTACCACGATATCACTAAATTGTAATGATTTAATTCAATACGATTACCGAGTGACGAGTTTATACATATGCGACTCTACCAGATTTTTAAGCGTATACACTCTTAGGAAACTGGTATTAAATCATTACTGACGAGAGTATTTACATGTATGTATGACTCTACCGGCACTGGTAATAACAGACATTACCATTTAGTAATGTAGTAATGAAAAATTTACCACTGCTACCAATCCGGTAGGAAGTTATTGCCAAATCAATACCAGTAGTATGTAATGTACTTATCTATCTGACTCTTTTTTTAAAGTTTATTGTTTTAAAACTGTGTGTAATTATTTTTGGTATTATTTACTTGAAATACGTAAATTTATCAAATACGTAAGTAAATCAATATTTTGACGGTTAAAGAAACGAAAAAAAAGTTGGCTCTAAACCATGAGAGGGATTTCTAAACCTGAGAAAATCTGATAATTCAGTTTTTTAGCGAGTTTTCATTGTCTTGTTTTTGTAAACCATTAAAATTTCAAAACATGAAATATTTGAAGTCTTATGGAAGTTAAATGTACGTATTTAACGCCACTTTTTAATGTTACGATTATCTTAATGTAAAGATTAGTGACAGATATGCATTTTTTATTGCATGTAGATTACCTACCAAAATTTTAATGTTCTCAATTTTCAGCTAGTAGTTAATTACTTTTAATTCTAAATTAGAATTTCTAATATCTAATTACTTATTAAAGTAATTATATTAGATAATATATTAGATTATATTAGATTATTATAATAATTAGATTGTAATTACTTATATTTCATAATTACTATGTAAATATTTGTGCGATTCAATCAAAATACGTAAATGTTATCAAGATTTTGAAGATTTGAAAAACGAAAAAAATTGCTCTTAACCACGAGGAATTTCTTAAGCTAACAAGGGAAATGTAATTATTCGACGTCGTTTTATACATTTATGAATTTTTATTATGGTAAGAACTGACCAAAGATACAATCATTATGTGGATCAAATTAGATTTTCTACTTTTTAAAAAAATTGCAACTATTTTTCATTACCATTTCTCAATGTTTATTTCGTTTAGTAACGTCGTGGTAATGAAAACTTTACCACCGAGCAGCAAACTATTGCCAATGGGTAGGAAGTTATTACCAAATCAGTATCAGTACTAAGTAGCCATTTAACTCTTCCAGATTTTTTAAACTGTGCAAATTTTTAAGGGTTTTTTTACGAAGACTTGAAATCTTTATTTTGTTTTACATGACAGATTCCTTTCCGAGTGGTAACGCTACTATGAAAAGCGTGCATGAAGTTGGGTCTCTCGAAGATAACCTTGTTTTCTCGGAGTAACGGATCCGATATGCGTTTAACTGTCCGTAATAATTAGATTGTTGGTATGCAGATATGAAATATTTACTGAAATTTGTTACCAGAATTGGACTAGAACTCGTGACCCAGTTGTAAAAAACGAGGCGAAAGTGCGATACGAAAACTTGATGAGAAGAGTAATGTATTAGATAAGGTGTGTGATAAGAAATATTAATTTGGCACATCAAATCGTGATTCTATGTAAACGATGTTATTTTTGGAGAATCATTCTCTGGATGAGTTTGTTCCCAACAAAAGCAAAAACGAGGAGAAAGCACACGGGAGAAGTTTTACGAATAAAATTATACACTCTATAATGAATGGGACGAATATGAAAAACTATGCAGATGCTGGAATTAGCGAGAAAAATCATGAGATTCATGCTACACCAAGAGTGAACCTGTTGTACATAAATTTGATGGTATATAGGATTAGATGACGAATAACCAAAATCTTTAAAATCAGCACCTTTTTAATAATTTCTCTCTTCTGGAAATTTATTTTTAAAATTCTGGACGACTAATTTGTAGAGTAGGGAGTTCCCAATTTTTGAAAAATATACACTCCAGATTTTGACAATTTTAAACGAGGCAATCTCAAATTTGGGAAATCTTCAGAGAAATTGGAACTCGTCGAAACTGGCTCAAAAAACTCATCGCCATTCCATCAATCAACTCACCGACTACAAATTTGTCGTTCAGAATTTTTAAATAAATTCCCAGAGGTGAGAAATTATTGAAAATGTGCTTATTTTGGCGATGAGTCATCGAGTCCTACGGTATATTTTGAAATATAAATTCGAAATATCCCACGTCAAGTATGCCGTTTCCTTGTGGTAAATGTTTTTTCCTTTTTGAAAGTTATGAATTGGAAATTCATGTCGATACCAGTGACGCAACGCGAGCCTGTGCGTTCATTAATAATTATTTGCATAGTTATTTTATACAAATATATACAGATACATAGGTATTAACTATCTTATATAATTATCTTATATATAATTATCATACGGAGATATCTATTTTTTAATAATCCCGGAAATACTAGTATTTATGTATATAAAATATGAAAATCTGAGCTTTCTACAATTTTTTTTATCAAATTATCATTTTCAACTCAGGAGGACAACCCTTCACCGACAGAATGACCGATCTTGATGCCCTTTGGATATGTTGTAGTCCTAGGTGAGTCTAGCAAAAGTGAAGAAGGATTTCATTCCATGGCCCCATTTGCGCCCGCCACACCCACTCAAAGGTGCAAAAATACCCTGTTTTGGTTCATTAAAAAAACCACCAAAAATCCATTTTTGGTCGGATTTTCACAATTTAAGCATTTTTGTGACCTTAGATAGTTGCTTTATCATATCCAATAGCAAACTCAACTTTTTCGAAATTTTGATTTTTTCGAAATCCACGAAATTTTCGAAAATACTCAAAAAATTCAAAAAATTGAAATTCATGTCGGATACGATAAAACAACTATCTGGGATCAGAAAGGTGCAAAAATTATCAAATGTAATGAACTAACAATGACCCCACTTCGTCGGCTAGGGGGGGAAGAGATGATGGGCAAGTTGATCGTCGTCGTTGTTGTGCATCGCAAAATAAATTGGAGGCAGGGTGAGATTTTGTGAGACAAAGTCAGGACAGGTTTTATTGCACGTATTAAGATGCAGGCAGCCGACTCGCTGTCGATGGTCACTCTTGTTCTTACTTATATACCATACGTATACCTATTTAGTCTACTTATATGTCTAACCGGTTATTGGGTGGTAAGAGTTGCCTTTTTGACATAGTGATCATTGATCACTAACACAACTACGAAAAGGAGATAGTGAGAGTTGCAGATCTAAAGAACCAGTTTTTCAATAAGGATTTTGGCCAAGACCACATGTTTACAGAGTAGATATTGCAATTAAAATTGCAACCGAAAGTGAGTCAATCACTTTCACACAAGACAACGTGATACCTAAATAATCCGGTTCTTCACAATATCCGACTTTCTTATACCGGGCCCCGGTCCAAAATTAAATGTGAGATTTAATTTAGTGGTCTACCTTATTGTTGTTTACAATTATTAGTGATTTTAAAGGTAGTGTTATTTTAACAGAGTTGGTAAATTAAACTAATTCGTAAAATAAACCAATTAACCAATATAAACCGATGTTTGACAATAAGGAGTACTTATGTTAACAAATTTGAGCATAATTTGAAAATTTTTTTAATAGAAGTAGATGGATTTTGTAAAGTTGAATTTCTAACAGAGTATGGAAATATAT